GCGATTAACAATTCAAATCCTTTAATGTGGTTTGTAGAAAAAATTAGGCGTGAATATTCTTCATAAGCGATATGTGGACTTGCTGCCTTAGTTGGTTTGATTATAAGTTCTCATTGCTGCTTAGGAAAAATGCTAAGTTATACTTAAAGCAATAAATGAATAATTTCATAATGGTTTTAATTATAGGAAATTTGATATACTTTTAAATGTATGTAATTGTTTGGATTTGGAGATAGGCTTTCTCAAATTGATAGCTTATTTATATATCTTGAATCTACACATAAATGAAAAAGGTGAAAGGTGTACCACAAATGGCAATGAAAGAATTGTAATCGTAAATATAAAAGAAACCTTGAAGACTAAAATAGTATTTTATTTATTTTTTAATTTTACCAATGGCTATACTAAGATTTGTATTCGTATCTCTTAGGCCTTAAAAGCTAATGATGCCCATAACGACACACGGGCGATCAAATTTGTAATTAAAACATGCACTCTACCATGCCGCCTCTGCCTGTTACATAATTTCAGACTTTCTAGTAAACCTTTCACACTTCGTGTATGTTTAAATTTGTTAAATATTTGGCAGCAATTTCCATACTTTAACAAAAAAGCAATCATAGTGTAACCAAAACAAACCGCAAAATCAATATTCAATGCTTTCCATTATAATAATGTATGCACACATATGGTACATATACACGTACATATGTACTTGTACTTCTAAACGTGAATATATTTGTTATTTGTAATCAGAAATTGCCATAAAATATAAATTTCATTGATTCATACTGACAGGCATTTCCACAGCTGGAATTTCTTGTTGATAGAATGTGACAAGTGATTCCTTTAATAGGCATACTTAAATAGTTAGGTATACAGTTCCATTTAAAAGAAATTACACAGCTCGCGCATTATCATTTGAATGTATCTATGTGGGTCAGGCAATCACCATAACAATAACATCAGTTTATTTATTTTACATCTTGACCATTGTGCACAACTATTGGGCATCTCTATCTAAATTTCTGGCAAAAATTCACTGCAAAAAGTCTGGGCTGCAATGTCAGCATTTATTCGAGCATAAACATGAAAATAACACTGACTGACCAAATGAACGAATCGTACGTCACTAACACATTACGACCCCAACCGCAGACAGGCAGTTGCAGACAGACGGACACATCTTCCGATAACAGCTGTCAGTCACTCAAGCAGTCCGTTAACCAAACAGTCCAGCGGACAACAAAAAGCCGGGCAGCCAACCATTAGAAGCTGCAGCATTCGCTTCCATATTCACAGTCCCACTCCCATTCGTTCGCATCATTGTAATTGTTAATTACTACGAAATTTCTGTGTGTGCCATATACACCCACACTCGGCCGTCCAGCCACACACACACACGTACGCACAACAAACGCAAACGCACGCACGCACACATAGACAAGAAACTGAACGGCAGCAACAATTTCTCCATCTGCCGCCATTGCCTCGTGCATATTTATGCTTTTAGCAAACATCTTCTGCGTTTTGCTGCTTCCCAAGCGTAAGCCCAGCTAAGCCAGCTAGCGACTAGAGCACCGTAATAGGGATGAGCCGGCGATAATAAATGTGAGAAAATCGTGACAAATTGGGAACCAATTCCATTAATTACATCCACTAATTGTAAGTAATCGTGATATCTATGAATGAAACGAACAAATTCGATTCGTATACATTACAGGCTGTTGAACTTGAAATGACAGCCAATCTCTGAATATCTATTGCATTGTAATAAACGCAGAATTATTAATATTCAATTTAAATATGTATTATTATCTTAATTAGGCGAACGTTTTTATCTGGGTTAAGACGCGTAAATATTTGGCACACAAATTTGTGTAATTATTGCGGTAATAGAATTCACTAAAATGTTTCTTATATCAATGAACTACGGGCATTTAATTTAGGTCTTATTAGTATTAATACTAAGAAACAACATTATATTAATGACATACTTTTCAAATTCGATCAATTAATAAGCAAAATTTTTGTTAGTCCGACCATAGTCTTTAAGTAAAAGCTGCTATATATTACTTATTTGTGAAATAAGTTTTCAATTAATTTCTCCCCTTAATTAATAAGCAATTACTCTTAGATGCTCCAGACCTAAGATGCATCAACTAGTTTTTTATAACAAATCACCCATTCATTTAATTTATACCTAAATATAAAATACTCCATTCTATTGGAAAAAACTATTAGAAAAATTAAAATTAAATTTATAGTTTACATTCAATTCTTAGATTGATCCCATATGCAGAAGCATATTTCTTAAAAAGAAAAGGCTAGGTTCGTTATAAACATACACGAAAGTCGATTATATGTAAGTAATTACAGAAAGCCACAGCCCATCTTAATGATCACGTTTATTTGCAAAATAAACCCTGTAAACTTAGAAAATATGACAACTATATGCAAATACTTGACTTTGAGTCCGGAAATTGCGGAGATCCCGATGATTAACATGCACGTGAGGGGGTGAAATGGACATTCGTGATTGGCGTTATAACATATTTTGTCACGCGTCCGTGTCCCAACCGCACAGGCCGCTCGTCCACCCAAGTCGCCTACGCTTCTGCGCTGATTTGCTTGCTGCACGCAGCTAACAAGCGATGCGGCGGCAAACAACATCGTCATGCCATTTGGCAATGGACTGATGGCGCGTGGCAGGATCAGCAGGAGCAAGGGGATGGGTGGTAAGAGGGGATTGTGTATAGGGGCGGGCCGTTGCTAGCTGGCTCGCTGGCTGCCAGCCAGCTCAACCAGAATGAGCCACGTCAAGTGAGTTCACAATTTTTGCGTGCTACCATTTTTCTTCCGCTCGCTCGCTATACTCGTACTCCAGAGCATGGCACGGATTATCCTTGGCATGCAACGCCTTTATCCTGTTTTATTTGTGTTCTGTTGCTGTATTTTTTTTTTTTCCTTACTGGTTTTTGTTGTTCTGTGCCCGCTGATTTCGCTACTTAATTTTTTCGCCCTTTTTTGTGTGTTGGCTGTGTATTGCTTCGTTTCCGCTCTTGCTGCGCTGATTGGGCGTATTTTGTTATTTTCATGTGGCTACTGTTGCTGTTGTTGTTGCTGCTGTTGCTGCAATGCTGCTACTGCTGCTGCTGCTGCTGTCAGTCAAGGCACAAGACATCCTGCCAGTCAGGCAGTCATTTGTGTGCGCCCGCTCGTTTGTACATTCGCTTTGGTTTTTTTCCCACGTAATTAAAACTTGAAACGCATATGAATTAGAAAAAATACGAGGATGTGCGGAGAGCGACGTAAAACGAAAGCATTTTATGGCCCTGCCTGTCTGTCCGTCCGTCTGAATGTCGAGTTGCTGGGGTTGCCACTCCGACTGACATCGTTAACATTGCTGATTAAGTTTCTTGTCCTGTCCTGTATTCTCGCCGCTGTTTCTGTTTCTGTATCCGTGTCTGTCTCTGTCTCTGTGTCTGTGTCACTCAACGTGATTTGAAATAAAAATTTATAATTCCTGCCCCGCCTCCCCATCCCATTCGTAATCCACAAGTGAGCGGCACTGAATCGCTTTTGTATGTTTTATTTTATTATCAACTTTTCTTTTTTCTAATCTTCGTTATCAACACGACTCTTTGTTCTTTAGCCATGATGATGAAAGCCATGACGGTAGAGGCCAGCAAAGAATGGTGGAAAAGGGCGAAAGCCACCGCCATAGTAAGGCAGTCCATAGCGAAAACCATAGCCTGATCCAGGACCAGGACCAAAGCCAGATCCAAAGCCTGGTGGACCATAATATCCTGGTCCAAATCCAATCTGACGACCCACGCGCTCAGCATCAGCCACATCCTGCTGCTGCTTCAGTTCCCCCTCCAAAGCCTCCAGTGTAAGTGCTCTTTGCTCACCATTCTTGCCAACTTCCAGTTTGCTGCCATTAACAAATGCGATTGTGGCAAGCAGGGCACTTAGCGCCAAGACGAGGCACGAGAAAGTGCGCATCTTGCGGATTACTTTGGATTATAGTAACACAATTCACTTTGTACTCCTTTTATAGCAAATTCAAAGTGAACGAGCAACATCAATTAGCACAAATTATTAAGATGTAAGAGTAAATCTAATTATATTGCGGACTGCAGAGAAACAAAATATGTAATACTATCAGCACACAAACTAATAAATGAGTTGGTAAGCATGTATACGAGTATATATCTCTGAGATGGTTACGGAGATATTCTCGCAATTCAAAGTTAATCGAACTCTAACGCTAATATTAATTTATAGATTTAGCAACATGATATAAATTATAAAATTATCTGCATACAAGTATTTTCCAAAATCGAAACACGTTTGACTGTTTGTTTCATAGTTTTTAGTTCAAAAAACCGGCTTTTAGTGAAATAAGTCTAAACCTGTAAATTGTCCAGGACTGTTTTGGAACTCCAAATGACAGGAGAGACTTTAGATTGGATTACGATTTATTATGTAGAAAATTTAACAGGATATCCCATTGCAAAAATCACTACTCAGAACTGGATCCATTTTTTAGAGATATCTTTCGATTTTTCAGAGCTATCAATTTCGTCTGCAGATCCGAGGTATGTGAAGGTAAAATACAGTTTCGGGCAAACCAGTATGGCTAATAATTCTCTTTTAGATGACATATTCTGAAAGTATGTCGAAATAATTCAATTATTTAATTTTCCATTTCAAGTCGACGCAAAATATGTTAAATCTGTTGCGTAACAACGAACAACAACTGAAACCGTCATATCAAAACATACTATTAGTCACCTACTTCTGAAAAGAGTCTCGACATCAAGCGAACTAACAATTAATGTATACAAAAATCTAGCACTTTCTACTAGATTATACCTTTTTCTGGGAATCAGCTGAAACCAGAAGCAACTGAGTACGAGCTTAAAAATTTATAAAATTTATTAGCACATCGTTGTTTCAGATCATTATCACGCAATTATTTCGTTCATTATAATTTAGCCATAAAATCCATAGTAGGGCCTTCTGAAACCACCGCCGTAGAAGGATCTTCCAAAACCGCCTCCATAATAAGGGCGCCTAAAGCCGCCACCGTAGAAGCCTGGTCCGAAACCTGGTCCGAAACCTCGACCAAAGCCACCGCCAAAGCGTCTGAAACCAAACTGCCGGGGCTCGCGCACTTCTGAGTTTTCCTGCTGGCCGCCTACTTCATCAACATCCTCCAATGTCAGCTGTTTCAGCTGCTGTTGTTCATCGGCAACGGCTTCCGCCAGGACGGCCACAGCACTTAGAACTAATAAAAAGTAGACAAAAAATGTTCGCATCGCTCGCTGTTGGGGTTCACTGCACTAAGATGCTTAGAACCTTTTGCCAGGCCTTTTTATACACAGTGCTAAAATTTTAGACAACAACACTCTGACCCTCGAGCTGGTCAACCAGCTGAGCTCTAAACGAGTTTGTCACGCCTTCTAATTTTTTGGTCAAAACAACGCAGCATCTAAACAAAACAGAGCATAGAAAAAAAAAAATAACCAACTACGTAAAAGCATTTCAAGCAGAATTTCCTAAAACAGAATCAAATTTCTAAAAGCAAAAACACATTGAACCGTAGAGGTAGAGGCAACGAACTGACGAAAGCAATGGGAACACAGAAAAAAAGCCCCCCAAAAAGCCGCAAGCTGTTTATTTGGTGTGAAAAAAACAAAAACAAAACAAAAACAGTGCACGGCGCAAAACAAAACAAAACAAAAATAAAATAATCACCAACGAACCATCCAGCAACCTGTTTTATGCCCTCAGCTCTGAGTGATCTGGCTCCGGCTCTGGCTCTGTCCCTTTCCTGTTCTGCTCTTCGTGCCCCGCCCTGCTCCTCTTTGCTAATTATGCTGCTGCGTAACAATATGGTTGTAATCCAATTATACATAATTTCGGTGTTGCCGCAATGCTATTTCTAAGGCTCATTAAGAGATTTTGATGGCGACTGCGATGCTGACAGCGATGCTGACTGTGATGCGGACTGCGACTGAGTACGTGAGCGGGCAAATTCTCCAATTTCTAAACACACATGTGCTCTGCCATTCTGGTTGTTGTTATTGTTGTTGTTGTGTTTACAATTTTATAAAGCCCCCCTAAGCGCACCAATGATATGTATTTATAAGCCATAAATAATGTGCAAACAAAGAGCTATGGCCCAGACAATAACAACAGCATGCCCAGAAGCAGCAGCAGCAGCAGCAGCATCATCATAATAGCCTGCCAATAACAACAACAATAATGACAACGACAACATCGCGGCCAAATTATAAGGCTATAAAAGGCAATAAAAAACTTTGCGATATCAAATTACAACACCCTCATAAAGTTATAAAAGTTTCAAGCGTATCAGCATCACGTACCCGAGCAGGCCTAATATTTTCAATAACAAATCAATCAGCTGCTACTCCAGCTATTGCTCCACTGTTCCTGGTCAAGACGGATAATCAGTTATAGCCAGCGACAGTGCCTGTCCCGACATCTTGGACAACTTTGGGGGGCGTTCAGCTGGGCGTTACTTAAGTCTCGCATCACCCCAATGCGTCAGAGGTAGCTGCTGCAGATTTATTGAGACACGATTTCGATAAGAAACGGCTGTAGCGGCAGCTAAAGAATGTGCGAGCAAAAAAAAAAAAAAAAAACTGCCGAGCACGCAGCACGACTCGCAAATAAAAGGCATTTTTCTTCTTAAAGCAGCCGTGGAATGTGGCACAAAAAAACTTTTATAAATGCTGCGAGCGCCATCACAGTGTACGAGTAGACCGGATGGGACGCATTATGTGTGCGTGTGTGTGTGCGTGCGAGTGTGTCGGTCGAGGTCAAGGGATAACAAAAGGCGTAAATTTAAAGCCGAGTTAATTTTTTAACAATAAAAGTTGCTTGTCAAAAGCGAAAATTCACAGCAAACGTTTAATCTTAACCGACTTAGGCGCACTGAATGATGACTGTGCGGTGAGTGATGGCGCGAGGGGGAGTCGGCTGTGAGACTTGCTCGATAAGGCCCAACACATTTAGTTGAGTTTCTATGAATTACTGCGTTATAAATAACGTGTAACAGTTTCGTTTTGGGGTGAAGAAATCAGTCATTGAGACGTATTGAAGAATAAGGCTAGACAGTTAATCAAACAAAGGACATGACTTTGTGTAGCTTTACTGTAGACATGAAGCTAAGTACAATTGTAGAGATAAGCAAGTCGACCACGCACAAGGCAGTTGAGATTATAAATTAAAAGCACTTTAATTTAAAGCAATATGTTCTATGATTCAAGAATTATAGAATTAACGGCATTTAGGCTTATGTGAGAAGGCCAAAAACATTATGTGTTTGTGGTATCTGCACAATTGTAACTTTCAGCAACAAGAAGTCTAGCATAGGCTGACAAGCAGACGGACTTTGCTAAATCAATTTGTCTCGTCATGATCATCATATAACATGATCGGTCAGTCGTGTCTGCTAGTGATTCTCAAACGCAGTAAAAAAAAAAGAAGTGAAATAAAGTATTAAAGCGCGGATACAAAGAAACGCCGAAGTATTGGACAATTATCGTATGGGTATAACAAAAAATTGAATTATATCCAGCAGCCAACTGTGAGAAAATTAAACAAGAGGTACCTGCACCACAATTCAAAAATACCCAAAGAGGTTAAAACGCAATGCGCCAGGATTTAAAGCATCAAGGCATTAACCAAAACAAATGAACTATCAAAAAAACAAGCCAGACAAGAGGTACCGGCTCAACTCCTGGATTCAATTCAGAGCCGTTTTAAAAACATCGCAGCGTTGCAATCACCCAGGGAGATATTTAAAATACATTAATTTGCCATCAAGACCACAATATTTCCGTTTGATAAGCTCCTTTGCATAATAGCCAGCAAGTTAAATATAATTATAAACAGCTTAAAACTAACTGGAGCGCGATGTATATCAGTATAATAAAGAATATTAGTTTTAGCCCGCTTGATTATGAGTTTCACAAGTCCAATACTATTCATTTTTATAGCCTGTACCCAAAGGGTGAAAGGCTATACTAGTTTTGTGCGCATGTATGTAACACACAGAAGGAGGCGTGGCAGACCCCTCAAAGTATATATATTCTTGATCAGGATGAGAAGCCGAGTCGATATAGCCTTGTCCGTCCGTCCGTCTGTCCGTCTGTCTGTCCGTCTGTCCGTATGAACGCAAGGATCTCAGAAAGTATAAGAGCTAGAATAACCAAACTTGGTTTCCATATTCTCCTAAGACCGAGAAAGTACGAGTTTGAGTTTTTTTTCGATGCACCCCCCCACTCCCCCGCAATTCGTGTTTTTTCTTATAACTTCCGTAATTCTCGGAATTTTGAAATCAATTTTGGTAGGTACATCCAGTTAGTACTAATGTGTCCGTGTGCCAAATTTCATCATGATAGGTCAATTCTGAAGAAAGTTATAGCCATAAGTAAAATCGCTGCTCATGCGCTGCCTCTGTCGGCAGCGCTGCCCGCAGCTGTTGTTGTTGTTGCTGCTTTGGTTCAACTTTGTGCTGCATACATACACGCATATAAACACGCATAGGTACGTGATGTAAATGTATGCTGTTAAAACTAAACATAAACATATATTCTAATTTAATTTAATTAATTAATTCATTAATTTTTTTTAATAATTTAATTTTTTTTTTTAAATTTTTTTTTTTTAATTTTTCTTTTTTTGTGGAGAGTACAGGCTATTTTACTGTCGGGCTTGCTCGACTGTAGCGTTCTATCTTGTTATTTTATAAATAAATGAATAAAATTGGTGTAAGTTAGACTGATTTATGCTTAGTCAACTTTTAAAATATTTTAATACTGCATCGCAATCTAATATTTTGTACTCGAACACAGAATGAATACCATTTTCCCTTTGAGCACTGCTTATAAATATCGAATGCTTTTCTCATAAATTAAGCAATTGGTAAACGCATTATAAATGTTATTTAATGTGTCCGTGTGCCAAATTTCATCATGATAGGTCAATTCTGAAGAAAGTTATAGCCATAAGTAAAATCGCTGCTCATGCGCTGCCTCTGTCGGCAGCGCTGCCCGCAGCTGTTGTTGTTGTTGCTGCTTTGGTTCAACTTTGTGCTGCATACATACACGCATATAAACACGCATAGGTACGTGATGTAAATGTATGCTGTTAAAACTAAACATAAACATATATTCTAATTTAATTTAATTAATTAATTCATTAATTTTTTTTAATAATTTAATTTTTTTTTTTAATTTTTTTTTTTTAATTTTTCTTTTTTTGTGGAGAGTACAGGCTATTTTACTGTCGGGCTTGCTCGACTGTAGCGTTCTATCTTGTTATTTTATAAATAAATGAATAAAATTGGTGTAAGTTAGACTGATTTATGCTTAGTCAACTTTTAAAATATTTTAATACTGCATCGCAATCTAATATTTTGTACTCGAACACAGAATGAATACCATTTTCCCTTTGAGCACTGCTTATAAATATCGAATGCTTTTCTCATAAATTAAGCAATTGGTAAACGCATTATAAATGTTATTTTTATATATTGTATTTGTCGGTTCTGTCACATTTTATTCGAGGCGAGAATATATAATAGTTTTGTGAGGATTTGCACAATTAGCCATAGAAACCACCAAACCGAGGAAAGCCAAATCCACGCCCATAGCCACCAAAACCACCAAAACCACCACGTCCAAAGCCTCCGAAACGGGGTCCGAAACCGCCAAAGAAGGCACGTGCCTTACGTACGGAGCCCTCCTCCAGAGGAGCAGCATCTACACCGACATCGACGTCCAACAGCTGCACGGCACCGCCCTCCTCGTCAACGGGCACTGCCTCACAAATGGCCGAGAGGGCAACAATGGCCATGGCGATGCAAACAAATGTGCGCATTTTAGTTAATTTCTTTTACTGCCTTACAACAGAGTCCAAGTCCAACTTCTAATCACAACGAACTTTGTCTAAGTTCTACAGGAGCTGCACATTGCCGCCGACCAATTTATATGATTTCGAATTTATCGACACTCAAGCGAAAAGGCGAAAGCAGTAAGTTGTACAAGTGCTATACTCTATAGAGTGCATAAAGTGGTTGGACTCAAGTCATCAAACTTACGAGTGAGTGATTCCCAAATGATATGAAATGAATACTCTCTGCTATTCCTATTAACTGTCTAGCTAAGCGTAAACAACAACAATAACAGCAAAAACACCAACAACAACAACAATAACGGCAACAGTAATAGTAACAGCAATAACAAGTAAGTATAAAATAACAAAAACTTATTAGGCAACAACGGGGGCTAACTGCTTAGCTTGACTGAACGTATCTGGATGAGCATCGTTCCAAGTGTCTAGATGAGTGTGTCCGTCCATCTATCTGCCTGTCTGTCTGTCCGGCTGTACGGCTGTGCACCTGTCTGCCTTTCTATTGCCTCTCCCTAAATGTCTGTGTCTGACTGGGCCATTGAAATTCGCAAATCATTCAAGTTCTTGAATAAAACAACAGAATAAATCAAGTGCGCTCTTGCAATCGTGTATCGAAATATTAAAGAGGTTGTTCTTAAAGCGCTCTGCTTTTTTGCAGATTATTTCTAAATTAAGTAATTTAAATCTATCAATTAGTCATTGGTTAAACCAAGGGCAAAGCCATAGCCCTATAAGAGACTACGTAATTTGAACTTGTTGTCCTCATTTGGCTTGTTGTTGTTTACGTTTCGGCTAACTGACTCATCTTTGTTATTAGCTTAATTTGCGGTTGACTTGCGCCTAAATGGACTAACCCATGCCACAGTGGGCGCCAAAATGGAGGCAACCGATCAATATTGAACTTTAACCTGCCTTTTGTCTTAGGTTTTAGACCAATAACTGCAAACCTTTCATTGCTTTAAATAATTGCATTGGAAAATTCAACGTTATAGCTTCAATTCCTTACTGTTATTTAATATTTCACAAATAATTGAAAACGTAACAAGCACTTATGAAACGATCGACTTACTTTTCCGTTTCCGATACCAATGTACATCGAATTTTAATTCGTAAATCCTATAAGGTTCAATCCAGAAACATTCATTCCACAATTTATCCGAATGCAAACCAAAGATTGAAGTACAATATTAATTTGCCACTTTAAATATGTTATTTCAAATCAAATTTAATGCAATTTTCTTGTAAAATGAATAAAGAATAGAACCGAATATTGCTTTTTTTTTAAAGAAATTACTTTTTATAAATGAATAAACTTCTTAAAAATGTTGTTCAGAACAAACTAATTACCTTTATTGCAAGTATTCTTAAATAGAATAGATAGTCTTCCAAATCATGAAACTTAACAATTCGACAAAAATAACAACTGCCTCAAATTTGTAAAATTATTTTCTGTTAAGAAATGGATTTGATTGCGTATTCGAAAAAACTTGCAGTTGTCTATAATTTATTTTTTGCACATTTGCATTTCGAAAGCACTTTAACCACATTTTACAGCTAATTTCGCGCTGCTTTTCCGTGCACAAAACCCAATTTCTCCTCCACTGTTTCATTCATATGCAAATAACTAATTTTACTAATCATTTACCGGTTTTTGGGCTCGACTGACTGCCTAACTACAAAAGAAATCCCACTGCCACAGCCGGACTATCTGTTTATCTGTCTGTCTGTCCGACTGTCTATAGTCCAACTACTGATTATTACAATTATAGCCAAATAGCTTGTGCGTCTGCTGTCACTAGGCAGTCAGCAAGGAGCTTGTGCAACAAACCGTCTAAATTATGCGCGATTTTCGCCAGCTGGAAATTTATGCGGCGCTGGCTTTTCAAGTGGCGCATCAAAATGTGCAGCCGGCAGTTAACGTTGGCCATGCAGCTAGATCGTTAATTGACCCACTTTTTGAACTAGATGGAAACGTTTTAATTTGAATAACAAAATTTCTGACAGGCTAATTTCACTTTTATGGGCGTGTGATTTTGCATAAATGAATTAATCGGTCGCGGCTTTGAATTGGTTTAGCGCAGAGGTATGGCACATGCGACGCTGACCACAGCTTAGCCAAAGCTATGGTCAATATGTGCACACACATACACACACACACACACCTGCCTTCACATATACATAGTATATATGTATGTACACGTATATCTAGGCGCATTGTTAATGGCCATGCCGCACATAAAACAAACAGCTATTCAAACAAAAACAAGCAAACAAACAAACATACATATAGCGAGTCAAGCAGGCAAGCACGCTGGTGGATTGTTGCCTTGGGGAAGGGGCTTAGAGACGTAGGAGCAAGCAGACTAGCAAACAACAAACAGCAATTCACACTTACGCACCAAAAGTTGCGCTTATGACGTGTGTGCGTGCCGACGGCGCTGCGGGTTCAGCTGCTGGGCAATACCATAACTAACCTTCAAACGAAATTAGCACGTTTCCACAGCTTACCTGACCACAAGCTTCAGCTTGGCGGCGCCCCACACGCCAACTGTAGCGCATTAGGGACTGTTCAGAGCATACAAATTACATGCATAGCCATAAAAGTTGGACGGAATGCGTTCGGTCCCAATATATATAGAATATTTATTCCTAGCCATTGTTCCAGACCTAATAGATTTATGTAAATTATAAATGTAAAATTCGAAATAAGACTAAGCTCCTAGTTTAAGGTATAAGTTTATAAGTAAATTTCCAAAAACATGGGCCAAAGCACTTCAATATCATTTAAGGCTGTTCATACGAGTTCAATCAAATTTCACATTTCTCACGATCTAGGTCTCAACACAACTTCAATTCACAATTCAATTGTTCCCACCTGAAAATATTTGCTATTTAATTTCATCTTACTTAAATGTATATTATGGAGAAACTGAACGCAACACTCCTTACCATAAGCCCGAACGATGAAAAACTTTGAGTAACCCCATTACTTAAATATTCAAAAAGCAGACTACAAGTATTCAGTATTGCCTGGACTGCGAGAAATGTTGTTGCTTTTATAAAAATTAAAATGATTTTTTAACTGCAAGTGCAATTTTTTTTATAGAGAAACAATATTCAATGCATATCAATATCTATCAACCGCACATATTGTTGGCAATTCTTTAACCAAGAAGGGTTTAAATTCTTTCTTCTTCTTGTTTTAATTTCAAATCTTTGTTGGCAGGGTTTAAATTCTTTCTTCTTCTTTTAATTTCAAATCTTTGTTGGCAAATCTTTAACCAACAAGGGTTTAAATTCTTTCTAAAATAGTTACTGTGCTGATTTATTTAAGTCATCTTTGCATATCTGCTATTTCATTCCAATCTTATATTTGTACTATTTTTTTATTGTTTTTTTTTTTTTGCCTGCTTAATACAATATTTGTTTAGTTTGCGAAGCAAAGCATTACATTTTACGGAATGCGTCTGAACGACACTTTAGGCGCCAACGAAGGTAACGTCCTCGGTCCGTCCGCAAAGTGAAATGTTTTGCTCTTTAAACTTCCAACATTTATATTGGTCGGTCCCCGGTCCCTAGGCAGGTTGTACGGCCGCTTTGTTGGTGGGGGCACTCGGTCGGTCATTCGATTTCATGAACGCCACTTAGCGTGCAACCTAATGGCGGCATTTGGTTCGCTCGAACTTGGCATATGAATGGGCTTTTTGTTCCATTTTACTTCACAGTACTCGCATATTTTAATAGTTTGTTTTATGACGTTTACATTAGCGTCTAATTTTGCTAACAAGTCAGCAAAAGTAAGAAACAAAAGTTTCTATTTTATTTGCGCTTTTCGCGCCGCGTCGCCAAAAAAAAAAGTTCTGAGCTATAAAAACGCAGGGGCCGCATCGTTGGGCTAGCAGATAGCAGTCCAACACCAAGGTGGTCACAGTCGGTTGATTTTTGGCCACAAAACAAATCCACAGCCTCGCCACGACTTTCGCGACACACAAATACAAGTTTAAATAAACAAACAGCAGAAGCCAAGTTAACTCTCAAGAAAATTTCGGCACGATGCGTACCTGCGCTCTATTTGGATTATATGCGCTGCTAATCGTCGCGTGCTTAAGCCACGCAACAGTTGGCCAAGAGCAGGCAGAACAGCAGCCTTTGGACGGCAGCGATGTGGAGATGCAGACAACGCTAGAGAAGGGCGAGGGACAGCGTGTGACAAGGCAAATTGGACTTGGGCTGGGTGGCATTGGAGGCATTGGTGGAATTGGCGGCGGCTTGGGCGGCATAGGTGGCTTAGGCGGCATTGGAGGCTATGGCGGCTATGGCGGCATTGGAGGAATTGGAGGCTATGGCGGCTATGGCGGAGTTGGGGGAATTGGAGGAATTGGAGGCTATGGCGGCTATGGAGGATATGGTGGCTATGGCGGCTACGGTGGCTATGGAGGCTATGGCAGCTATCGTCCCTACTACAGCAGTTATGGATATGGCGGAATTGGAGGAGTTGGCTATCGCCCGTATGGAGGAGGAATTGGCTATGGCTATGGCTATGGCGGCTATCCCATAAGTAGCTATGGAAGTGTGTATGGCAGTTTTCGTTAAACGGTCGCCATTTTGTGAATAGGCTTACACGTCAAACTGAAATATAAACGAACTCATAAAAGAAACTACGACATAAAACCAACTCATATAATGCAGCACTGATGTTTTACTTAGATAGTGTCAGCTTTTTGTCGTGGCAGCGTGTGTTTGCATTATCCCTTTGACATGCTTAATTGCTTTGCAATTCAAAACGATTATCGCTTTCATTCATTAAAAGCGTTTGTGGCATACCTCATTATTTGCTTAGGTAGACGTTAACAAGTGCACTCAGTTAAGCCACCAACTCTATCGCGCTCTCTCTGTCTCTCTTTCTCTCTTTCTCTCACACACTAACACACCCAAAGAGCCCCAAGCTAACGGTAACTACAGCTTAAGCAAATAGCACAACGTGCCACCGACACACATTGACAGCAATGCCGACGACAACGATGATAAAGCGCAGCTATGTCTGGTGGTAAGAGCTGGGCTCCTTTTTAGATTTTAATTACCGATACTGTTGCACTATGCTTTCCACTAAGCAGCAAAGGAAGCAGCATTTCTGTTGTTGTTGGTTTTGTTGCTGCCACAGCTCTTCCGTGCTCGTCCTGACTGCAAGTCCAAGTTGTAGTGTCGTTTAATTAGTGTGACTTTTAAACAACTTGCAGTGCTCATACGCACCGTTGCACTTTAGTGCCAAACCAATAGCAACCGCACTCGGAACTATGTAGTATTAGTTTCGCACAGTGTACCCAGACAGAGTTGGTGTCTCAGTCTCAGTCTCGGTCTGGGTGCCGGTGTTTCTGTTGGCCAGAGAAACCGAAATGCCAATCTGAACAAAGCAGTAGCATCATAGAAGCAGCCAGCTTACTGCCCTATTCTAATTGTTCGAGTAACATAATGCATCGCTTGATTCTCTTCAAGGAGTTAATATAAAGATTGGACAAAAATAGTTTGAAATGAACGCAGCTTACTCTATATTTAAATTTTGGGTATTGTAATTTATATTTGATATATTTAAGATGGACGCTGTCTATGGGGATTCTTTTTTATCATTTGCAACTGATAAGTCCTAGGCAGCTGAATTTAAACATGAACATAGACCCCGTTACCCATATTTTAAACAATGAATTGGGTGCCGCGTTTCTTCATTTTCGATTAAAAGTGTGTTCGAATTAACTGTTGCAAGTATCTGTCTCATCACCATAATAAATCAGAGTTTTTCGTTTTTGTTGTTAATTTTTAAATATTTGCAGACAATATTTTAAAATAATTTCAAACCTTTATTCGCTTTAGGCTTTGTGACATATACAAAACTCCTACATATTGAAAGGGAAGGTATTTTATTTCACGCTTGTTTTATTTCTTTTTTTTTGTTTTTTCATCTAAAAATTGTTAAACATATATTAAACATTTTATTTACTAACGCTGTTCCTAAAGCTTTTCTCTTTTCAACTTTTATATCTAGGGAATATAGAAAAACATCTTCCAGAAAACATTTCCAATAATACAGGAGAGTATGAAGCTACTATGGCACTTGTTTTAGGAACTTTTGCATAGCTCTTTAAAGTGAGTAAGCCCTCATAATCATCGATTCTGCCACACCCAAGCCAAATCGATACACTCTGCCACTCTGACTTACACATCATCTTCTGGGTAATGCCACAATCAAGTGAACACGCCGCATTTCGATTAGCGTATTCAAAAAGTTGACTACTTAGATTTGCACTTCATATAGACTTAGTTTCTTTTTTGTTTGACTCCCCGTACTAAATGTTACTTTTTTCATACTTTTACAACCGGCACACACGGCACCTGCAACCGTCCACCCATTCATAGAATTTACCATTTTTTCAGCTCGTATTTGTTTTTGTCTCACTTTCAAGCGCTGCCAGTGCCGCTTGCCACTGCTCCTGTGTTTAAAATAGCAATCAGATAACACCTCTTTGCCATTCAGAGGCAACGAGCAGGTTGTGTTTTTTCTTTCTTTTTTTGCAACTGCTGCTGCTGCTGCATTGAAAATATATTTGCTTTTTATGCGTAGCTGGGCAGCATGTTGAGAGAGGCGAGCAAAACTAAACTGAAATAACTTGACTCACTGGCTGGCTGGCTGGCTAGCTGGCTGGGTGGCTAGCTGGCTGACTGGCTGACTTCCTCCATCCTGCCTGAATGCTGCCGCGCTGAATAGCAGCCTGCGCTCTATACATTTCACGCTTTGTGGAGCCCGTTGGTGTCGGGGTGGAACTGAAGCAGGAGCTGGTGCTCTGTCTCTATGTATTAGCGTGTGTTTGCATGCGAGTTTACTCAAAGTAGCGTAAAATAAAAAACCGTCGACACTCGAAGCCAAAGCCTTTGAGTGTTATACGCAGGATAGTGTGGCTGTGTTGAAGCGTAAAAAAAGGTTGCCAATAGAAACACATCAGCAACTTGCCCGGCAAATCTGTGGCATTTGGACCTACATACGTACATACATACATACATATGTACATACATACACGTACATACGAACAACTTAAGCTGCATGCTTTTAAGATACAACATCAAAAAGGCGCATTTAAGGAAATGCTTGGCTTTTCCTTTTGGCCAGGCCATAAACACAGACAAACAGTTGAATAGATAGATAAATGGACAGCCAGATAGGCAGAAAAGCTGGTCAGGTGCTGTGGTTCAACCCAATGTCGAACCTCAATGGCCGCAACCAAAAACCTAGCACCTTCCCTTTGAGCAGCAAAGTGCACAAGCAACAGTTGTGTTTAGTTTCCCAGAAGGGTGCAGAAGGTGCAGAATTACAGAGCACCCGCAAGCCTAGCCAAACAGTTTAAAGAGCATTAAATTTATCTGATGTCTTGTATCAAGGCAGCTTCTATATACCACTCGGCTTATCAATGCATTTCAAATGAGGCAACTGAATGAGGCAATGTTTGTTGTTGCTGTTGCTACTGTTGTTGTTGTTGTGGTTGATGTTGTCGCCTTCACCACTCCAACATTGGCAGCATAGAAATTAATGACAAATTAATATTAACAAAGCAATCTGGCACCCCAAAATCAAACAAAACAGCAATTTGTACCATGAATAGATAACAACAACAACAGCAACAACACCCAGAGCTAAAACATGGCACTGATTTGCCTTGAATGCTACTTAATTGGAACTTAATGTGCGTGGCATTGTTTACAAGCATGGCAGCCGTTAGATAAGCACAGCAGTGACAGCTTTGAGCAACACTTCAAAATGGCACCAGCAATGGCTGAGTGAAAGAAAAATGCGTTTTAAAGTGACACTTGATGTAGGTAATGCGACAGCGTAACAAGCCCAAAGCTGGGGCTAACAGACACCAGCGGAGCCAAGCAAAGGCAAAAGAAAATTACGCTGGACAATAAAACACATTGTTGTGCGTGTGTCGCTTTATTTGGGTCTACGTCTGCCCAAAATTGCAGGCCGCGCTTTAATTTGCGCTTTCCCACCATTCACACACAAACACACACACACACCCATACACACACAAAGAGGCAGAAGAAAAACAAAAAATAATAATAATAATAAGAAGGACACGCTCATCAGTCGGCGGCGACATTATCTTAAGAGCGCTGCTCGTTCATTGTAACAATAAGTCCAACATTTTTGCTCAGTTCCAGTCCCCTGCGTCCTTCCCCCAACCACCTCGGTTGCCAACGTCGCCGTTGACAGCTGTTACAGCTGCAGAAATATGCAAATTGGAAGGCGTTTTAATAGATAAAGAGCCAGCCCAACGCAAAACATAAGACGAAAAAAGGACACGCAGTTGTACAATGGCTGCAAATATATGAAGGCGGTCAAAAGGTCTTTGTCTTTTCAAATATACCGACAGACATACATATATACTCATAATATGTATTTATAGCTACCTGAACTGAACAGTAGAAAAGTTCAAAAAGCAGCAAATTTTTAAGCATGGATTAAAACAAATTTCTGCTTTGTATGCAAAAATGATGGTAGAATACAATAAAGCATAATTGAATGCCGGTAAGAATAATACAAAGAAATACGCATTTAAATTTTGAATTTAGGAATGCGAACAGAATTTGTATAGCTACAGCAAGAGATCTAGTAATAATTTAATTATCGGCATAATCCACCTTGTTTACGTAAGGAAAACTTCGCAATCTAGTAAATGAAAATATTGCAGATAAATGTAACACTCGGACGCAGTTTTGAAGCAAAAACTTTTCATATGTACCTAAAATTCTCAACTGGTTAGCTCCAGTCTTCTTTAGTTCTTATCAAAAACAGCTCATCTAGCCCTCAGTGGAGGAAAATGCTTACAGGTGTGGAAATTGATTTACAATACAAGTTAAGTATTTATGGTATTTACGAAAGTCTTTTGCACTGGCAATGATCAATGAAATTTCGGTAATTTCTGATTTAAATAAAATTAGAGTGCCCCCTGGCAGCTGCACTTTAGAATCCCTGCATTTGGTCACATATCCAAAAATACAAGGAGCGCCTTGACTATTTGAAATGTAGTCGCTACTGAGACGACCAAGCTTGTGGGCAAGGTTGACACTGAAAAGAAGCCATCTAGAGGGCCTACCTTCGAGAGTCCTGTCATAGTCCCTATATAATAATTTTTTTTTTTATTTGTAGGTATATTTCTAGGTTATATTTCTTTTTAAATGTTTTATGCCCCTAATATACAACTAGATAAAACTGCTAATTTTTAAGGCCATCCGGTGCTCAGCTTAACGGAATTCTTATTGACCGACTCAGGCTTTTTGTTTGATATTTAATTTTTTGCTATGAACGCAGTTTTAATTTTACAAGCTCGACATTCAACATTTTGAGAGAATGAAGCAATGCATTTCGTTTTGCTTTAAACATTGCATTCATGGAAAATGTAAGGTAGGAAGTCAAATACTTCAGCTTCTTGTACATATTGAGTAAAGTTTGTTGTTTATTTTTCGCGTTCCCTATAAACAAATTCAAATGCATTTACTTGGAATGGAAAGAGTGTTGTCTGAGTTAAGTGCTTCAATTCAATTAGTTG